GCAATACTCTCAGTGATTAGCTCAGTTAAACATTGCCACAAAATATGAACATAAATATGAAAGATGAACACCAGCTTCCAAAGTCTAAAATCTCTGCAGAAATAAGCACAATTTGTGGGCTTCATTAGCTGGCACATTTACTATATAACAAGGTATCTTTTCTGCAGTAAAGTAGATATTCAATATTCATTTTTTCCAGCTTGTTTTCTACTTTACATCTTAACAAATATAAGACTCTTGCATGTTTTCGTTTGGTCTTCTAAATATTTCTTTCCCACAGCATTATCACAGTAAAAAGCCCAGTGCAACAGGTGCAGGGATGGGAGGTTATAGGTTATGAAGTGTGTCATGGTAAATGTAAAACTGCTTGAACAAGCACCACATTGAGGCGACATATTTATAGAACATATTTATAGGTGCTTATTATGTAAAATATATGAAAAAAGATTCCAACATTCTTGCCTCTCTATCACCAGCAGGGTCAGAATATGTGATATTTAGTGGTTCACACTCACCCATTTGGAAAAAACAACATTTTTCCCAGTGTTTTCTATAAGCTTTATGCACACAGCACTGTTTTCAATCAGCTTGCTGAATAGTGACAACCCACAAGCCGGTGGCATATCCCAAGGCACCAAACCCAATCTGGGTGCAGCACAGTCTAAATTTAATAGGACATCAGAAAGCATCCTGTTTCTCCCTGTGGTGAGTGAGTCCAAGGAACAGAAACATCTGAACCTTACGTGAGATGCTCTCCACATCTGGCACCCATCCTGATTGTTTCAGGGGTGTGGGCATGCACCAGCAGCTGCAGCCAACCACTCCCAGATGTTTCTGATAGGCTGAGTGTCTAGCTGTTTGTTAAGCGTGAGGTGATCTTTGATCCTTTAACAGCGTTGGCTGCAGTGTTATTGTGAGGAGGGCCCAAGAAGCTCTGCGAGGCACACAGCGGAAGTGCTGCAACCTCACAGAAAGGCCTGTGGTTCACTGTGGTGAAAACAGGCATGGTAAAGTGGCTTCAGCTGTGGAAAAGAGCTCTTTGGAAACCACCCAGTATCTCTATCCAGATCCAATTGTGCTACTGGCATCGTAATAGAGGAAATCAACACAAGTATAGTCTATAACCTTGGAGGAGAAAAGTAGTCTTTAAGTGAGCTTTTATGTGAAAGAAATGGAAATCTCTGAAACTTCATAATAAAGCTTAAAACCCTACGAAACCATCTCTGATATTATTTTCAGCAAAGTTGTGCTTTGCTCAGTTTCTGCATGTTTTTTTTCTATCACTACTGAGTGGTGCAACACATGGTGGCAAAAGACCAATATCGTAAATTACCCCTTTTTCCTCTTTTAAGAAGGCGTCTGTCCTGACATGATCACACATGGCTAAAACATCCTGCTCTAACATCCAAAGGCTATAAAGGCCCAACTATCCCTGTCAAAGTCATGTCAGGCTTTGTACACCCACCATTTGGATTCACAGAGATAGTATTTTAGGAAACGGTGCACTCCAGGCCAAAAATTCAAAAATAAACAGAACATTTGTGGAGAGGGAAGCTGCGCCACTCCTGCTTCCTCCCTCCAGTATAGCCTGGTTCCACTATAAGAGCACTTTAGCAACAGATCTCAACAGAATGGAACAGCAAATTGTGCATCATACACCATCCCATAAGGTCCACATATGTACCCTTTTTGATGTAAAAAGCATCTGTATTTTTTTTACTGTCATCATATTTTAAACTTTTTGTGAATATTAACACTGATATTCAACAAGAGCAAAAAGAAATGCAACACTTGGGGTCAGTTTTAAGTTCTCTCTTCATTAGTGTCTAACGTAGATGCCCTTTTCCAAAGCCTCTCCATCAATGGACAGCAGTCCTGGTGGTAGTGGAGCAAAAGCTAAGCACTACATGGTACTGTATGAATAATATTATCAAATTTTAGGTTGCTATCTATCAACAGTGTGCCATAATCCTGGAAAACTTATTAAAATATTTCTTTAAGCCACTTCAAACTTCCAGGAAATAGAATTACTGCCAACAAAGGTTTGTTTTGACCCTAAAATAGTCTCAGCTACCACAAGATTTCTCATTTCCACAGGTTCCAATATGTGACTGAGCAATGAGAAGGGAAAAAATCCAAGAAAACACAAAGTGATTAAGATCATTTCCATGGAGGATACAATTAAACATGTTTAGTGTTTATGTCATTATTCTGACATTTAATTTTAAAAAAATATTGTTTCTAACATCAACATTCTCTTTACTTTATAATGAGACATTCACCATTATGTTCTTCCTTACGAGTCCCTGCTGTAAATTAATGCAAACTTTATTTGCACATGAAAAAAAACCAACATTTCAAAGACTGTTTTTGACTGTCGAGGCCGGTGGGTTACCTTTATCTTGCTGCATAATTTATGCTCAGTGTGAAAAGTTTCAGAGTTCTTTTTTGATTTGTTTGATTGTTTTTTATTAATTTGTTTTTTTGTAAAACAGTGTCAGCAGAATACTTAGCTCATTTTTCATTTTAATTCTGTTTTTATTACCTGTCACTATTTAATATGCTTGCTCAGTTATTAAGGTTATGTTTTTATTTCTTTTGCAATGTCTTGAAGGCATTTGTTGACTAAACATTCTGTTCAGTCTGTAGCTCCAAAAAAGCTGACAATCACTTTTTTGACAAGTTGCATCAGCTTGTAAGCATTACTTTATACATAAAAAAAATAAATAAACAAATTATAAAAGAGAGGTTTGGTCGTGGTTTTGCGCAAGATGGAAGATGATCCAGCAACTTCTGGTGTTTCGTAAATACTGAAAATTAAATGCTGTTCAATTTGAGTTTAAAATAATGGGCCTGTTTCCTTGACTGAGGGCACAAGTAAGTAAGAGCTCTTTAATTCAGTTTAAAAAAATAAACAGTGTGCTGTAACACGTCATATCACATTCATCACAAAGCATCTGTGCCATCTTTGTGGTGTCTCACTTGAGTACATCAGTGAGTTGGAATCAAATCAGCTGGAGTAACACTGCAGAAAATAACAGGCTGCAAGTCATTCTGCAGGTCATTATTCGGTGCAAAAAATTCAAGTTCTTAAACCAGGCAAAGGTGACCCCTGTTGGCCATGCAATTGAATAAAAGATTAAGCTTAAATATATTCGTGGGAACACAAGTTACACAAGATGTTATGCTGAAATTCCAGTTTGTGAAATATTACTATCCCATTCAAATTCATTCCACAAAAAAATAATAGCTGTCTTTCTCAACAATCATCAAAAACAGATGTGTGGTTTTGGAAATGCAGACTAGTGTTGTAAAACATATCATGTGTGATGTATAATGCTGCCTGTGTTATGAGGATGTCAGATATTCTGAGAAAGAATTGAGCTCAACCACCAGATGAACTGCTGGATGTTCTCTTTGCAAATCAAGAAGAATAGACGCTGAACAAGAGGGGAAGGCTGCAAATCAAACACCATGTGACAAAATAGGATATTCAGACCACATAGCTCATTTTAACCTATAGCACTGGTTACTTATCACATCAAAGTCAGCTTTTAGATCTGTTTAGGCAGCGTCTGCAAAAGTTTGCTGAGAGAATAACTGAGAAAAGGCACCACTGTGGTTAAAAACCAGATACACTTTAAATAGGATACAAATCTAAGCCACAACTATGTCTGCATGGCTCAGCAAAATGTGTGTTTTCCCTAACTTATTATGCTTTAGTTAAATATAAAAAACTAGAATAAAGGCTGTTGGAAACTGTGTATCTTGCAGGGGATTTGCAGCATTTGCAAAGCCGGAGAGTTCTTGGACCCCACAAGTTTAAGCAGCAGGTAGAGCTAGTCTGCATGAGGATTTGCAAACATGCATAAATGAAAAGGATGGAAAACTCATACACAGCATGAGGGCCAATCCCTCATGGGTTTCTCTACTTCTTCTTTGTAGTCCAGACTACACAAATCTTTCATTTCACCTATTTGAATTCAACCTGCTCACTTTCATGACTGGATTTTGCATGCTAGCAATGCTATGTGTTGACAACCACAAACACATGTGGATGGTGGAATGTGCGAGCACTAAATGGAGCAGAAAAAAAGGGGTTTCTATCTTTCTGCCTATCTTGAGTTTGTGTTTCTCGTGCAATGACAAAATCTCATCCTGAATACACCCACTGTCGTCAGAACCATCCTGGAAGGTGTTTTTTTGAGTACTCGCAGATCTTTACATCACTGACAGTATGTGTATATGTGTGTCTATAGACTAATTTTGTCAACCACAGTGTAATAACTGTGCAAGACTCAGAAGAATTACTGGTGTGAAGTAGACATCCAAATAAGACCAAGTCTGAAAAATGGATGTGGTCTAAGAACTATTGCTGGTGTGATCCCAGTGCAAGATGACATCTGGGGAGGGATTAATCATTGATTGGTGACAGGCTTCATTATTGTAACATTCAATAATTCAAGCTTGAGCAAAATTCTGCAGATCGGATTAAAACTTGTAGCCTGTAAGAAAATGTGAATTACATGATTAAAT